TATGATTATATAAAAATAAGTTAATTAGCAGTCCAACAAATGTTTTAGTCAGATATCAGAGTTTTACTGTATCTGTTTTATCCTGGGTTTATTATTTAAATGTTTCAAAGATTGTATTAGTGTTGTACCAGTTATGATTTTCAATAAAAAGATTAGATCAAATTAGGCAGAAAACTTTGTCGTCCACAAGAGGATGGTTATATTTCCCTGAAACAGTTTTTTTTTTGTATAACGTTTCTAAAGATGATCTCGTTAACACGGCACTGTTTCTCCAAATGTTTTCATCCACACAGAAACACAGGTGACCCAAAACGCTGTAGTAACCACGGCCTGTAGAACTGGGACTGTGCTGCCATGAGCTTACACCAGAAACAAGATGTGGAGCAGGAACATGAAGCTGGATAGGAACGTTGACAAGAACGGGACGAGGATGGCGACAACACTTTTTGTGGAATGACAACTGTGGAACTTCTACTGTGTCATCCTAAACTACGAGTAGAAGCGTGCAGGATGGTGCTGACTGGGAGCCAAAATGTGGACGTGATGGATGCTTTTCAGACCCAGGATCCAGAGTGGGATGGCTGGAGGGAAAGGTTTTTCTCATTATGTACAAAACATAGGCTGAACTCTTTATGTTTACGTCAGTCTTTTTAATCTAATCCCATTTCCCACGTTCTTTAAATGTATCCTTGATGTAGTGTTTTTTCTTTTGTTGTTGCCTACTGTACTTTTGACAGTTCAATAAAGCAATTTAAAAAAACTATTCAGATTTTTTTGTGTAATAAATGTGGATTTTTGCTTTACATTAATTAAAGGGATGCAACTGTTCAATAGCCTTTACAACCTCTGTGTTTAGAATCAAAGGTTCAATTAGAGGTGGATCTATGACAAAGTTGTGTTGTTTTATTATTTATTTGATTTACTGCAGAGGTGCCCAACGTGGGGCCTGCGGGCCAAAATTGGCCCACCAAGCCATTTGATTTGGTCCACCAATAGTGGCCCTGGTTGTTAGGCTGTAATCTCCTGTCATTATGTTTGGCACACATGTAGAGTTAAACACATTGTAAGACCACACATACTCAGATTTTATCAACTTATGAAATGTTCCATAAGCCTTTGCTGCCCAAACATGTCAAAAATGTATTATATTATTGCATTTGACCCGCAGCCCTTGGATATTCATTTTGGCCCTCTCTGGGAAAACCTTTGGGCACCCCTGGTATACTGGTTTATGCTGAAAGATTTGAGTAGCAGTCCAACCTGAAGTGATTAGCATTCTGGTGCGTAAATTCTATGCATTAACTTGGAAAACATGGAAGAGAAAATTACCAAAAAACACTTGTTCCGGTTATCAACATGTGTTTTAACATAACCCACACAGCAACATTTGTCTGGCCAAAGTACTGCAAAGAATAACGGCCTTTTGGTGGTCTAGATAGGGTTTGCCAGAGGTGGTCCATGCATTGGGCCAGCACCACATAAACCAAACCACAACTGGGCCACTTGTGCCCTAACCTAACCTGGTCCATATCCTGTTGGCAAACCACTTACCATGCCAGCAGTCAGCTAGACATCAGATCTGACCCACACCTGTCTGCTGTGTAGAAACTGAATTTTATTTCATTTTCAAAGCTAAAAGGAGCCATCTGAGGCTGAATGACCCACATGTGCCTCCAGAAACAAAAACTGAAGACCCCTGGTCTCTGATTTCAGAGTTTTCAACGGTTGTGTTCAGGTTGTCGGGGTAAAAAGTATGGCATTTCAAGATTTTATCACTCTGAAACCCATTTTCAAAAATACCACTCACAAGCTCGTAAACCTCTGTTTCTGTGTGGACGCATGCCTGACACAGTAAGAACTTTTAAGAATTTACAAAATCTGCTCTCATGTGGACAAAACACAGGATGTTTGCAAGCAGACACGACAAAAATTGTCAAGGTTATCTCTTTTTTTTAAAACAATAAATTACTGAACTGAAAACTGTCCATTTAGCAAAGCCTTACAATTGTATATCCAAATATTTTTGATCTGCAAGAGTTAGATTAATAATCTTGTTAAACTGAAACTTTACCAAGACTGCAATGGCAGATTATTTCACTTAATTTGTAAAGATTCAGACTATAATCTAGCATTTTTAAACTTGTTTTTTTAGATGGCTATTTTTTTTTTTATTTTTATTGCAGTGGAATATTTTAAACATGGCCTCCAGTTTCAACCAGTGGGATTAGATCTGCCTTAAGAACAGCTCCTCCAACAAAAACATCTGCAGGACTCCCAACTTTAGCTAAAAGCAGAAAAAAGTAAGAAAGATAAAGCTCTTTGTTTTCTTTCCTCGGCTGACAAACGACAATCTTCTTGAAATGAAACTATGATTGTGTATTTTTTAAGAGGCTAACAAGAAGTTGCTTCACTGCCACTTGATGGCAAAACGGATTCAAGTAATAAAGAAAGATTTTACATAAAATAAAAGAAGTTTGTTGCGATTCCTCCTTAGAAAAGTGCCTTCAGACTGACAGCTCAGCTCGGTAAGCTTCGGATCAACCTTCACAACCTGCATGAGGAAACATCTGCAGAACATGGAAATTAAACACTGCTTCACATTTTGTTTTCAGATCTACAAATAAAATACAAAAACCTAACTTGGAATTTGTCAAGAGTAGAAAAACGTATGTCAGGACAAAACAGGCAGTTTTGTGTTAAAAATCACGATTGAGGTGTGAGAGAAAAAAACATTAAAGTCACTGAAGATGCACCTTCATATTCTATGCTTTAATTCATCAAAATGTTAAACAACAGGGACAGAAAACCTAAAAACCTTTTCATTTGATGCCCTCCAGGGTCCCTGATGCCTTCTAAAATCTTCTTGGTTTGTATTTTATTTCTGTGAACACAGATGAGTCATCTCTCTTCTTTCTGCCACATTAATCAGGTTGGCCAAGTCATAGAAAACACTTAAAAATCAACAATTTCTCTTATAAAAATATCTCACAGGGACATCTGCTTAAGAAACTGCTGTTTGGGTTAAATATCCCAAAGAGGTCAATAATCTGTTTACAGAGCTCACAAAGTTTGAGCTGGTTCACCAAGCTTTATATTCATTTGTAAAAGACAAACATGGATGTAATTATGGACATCGGTCTCAACACTGCGCCTACATTAGTGCAAGGTTCACAGTGGTACATAACTGTGATGACTTAAAGCTCCCTTACATCAGGCAAAGACCTGCTAACATCAGCGTTTTAAATAGCAACATCAGTCCCGTACCAAATGACTTCTACATGATCTGAGAGTATTTCTTTGTTCCAGCTCCAATCAGCGTTAATGCTGAGGCTGCAGGGAGAATGGCCACAGGAGAGGGCTCAGTCTTCCTCCACAGAAACAGACATTAAGACACTATTACATTAAGGATTGGGAAACTACTGGCAACAAATAATGAAGTAAGAGAGATGGGATTGACAGGTTTAATCTGTCTGCAGCCGGTCCCACTCTGTAGACTTTATGCTGGCTCAAGTCTAACATGAGAAAAATGTCAGTCTAATGTCAATGTTTCCTCAATGTGAAGAATGTTGGTTCATGTGAAAAATGTCAGTCCATGTGAATAATGTCAGCTAATGTAAATTAAGTCATTTAATGTGAATAATGTCAGCTAATGTGAATAATGTCAGCTGTGAATGTCATTTAATGTGAATAATGTCAGCTAATGTGAATAATGTCAGTTAATGTCAATGTCAGTCCATGTGAATAATGCAAGCTGTGAATGTCAGCTAATGTGAATAATGTCAGTCCATGTGAATAATGCAAGCTGTGAATGTCAGCTAATGTGAATAATGTCAGTCCATGTGAATAATGTCAGCTAATGTGAATAATGTCAGTCCATGTGAATAATGTCAGCTAATGTGAATAATGTCAGCTAATGTAAACAGTAAGTTAATGTGAATAATGTCAGCTAATTAGTCAGTTAATGTGAATGTCAGCTAATGTGAATAATGTCAATTAATGTGAATAATGTCAGCCCATGTGAAAATGCAAGCTGTGAATGTCAGTCCATGTGAATAATGTCAGCTAATGTAGTCAGTTAATGTGAATAACATCAGCTAATGTGAATGTCAACTGTGAATGTCATTTAATGTGAATAATGTCAGCTAATGTAGTCAGTTAATGTGAATAACGTCAGCTAATGTG